AGCATATGGACTACTCTAGATGTTAGCTCAGTTGCAGCTGGCATAAAGAGCTGCTGTTTCGTTTTGATGGAACTTCTCCTTTCCCTTCACAAGGTCTTTTGGTCTAATTAAATTTCAGGGAGACAGAGCCTTGGCAGGAGGTTAAAGTAAGCTGCTAGACTGGAATGTAGGAACTGGGCTCAAAACTAAATTGGGAAATTTAACTGGGTGCGTCTCTGGTTTCAATGAAATACTTTTACAGTGTATGGTAGCAATGTCTGTTTCTAAGCTTTTGAAAACCATTTTTCCCCTAAATTGTAGTTCCCTAGTTGTTTTTATATTATGAGCTACTCGTAGAAAAATACAGGAAACATAATTACAATACAAAGCTCCCTTTCCCAAGCCTACTGAGATCATTTGAAGCCAAACTTGGTTTTAGGGTTTTGCTAACTATAAGTTCAGAGCCATGAATTGCATCCTATGCAATGCTAGTTGATTTACAACAAGTGTTATGTGTGTGATTAAACAATAACCATGTTTCTTTAAGCTAACTGCTATAGAATTTGAGGGAAAGCTATGTTGCTTCATGACTCCACATTTCACAGCTCCCTCTGGGGAAAAAGAATGAATATCTTTGTGTGACTCTTACAGTAAAATAGAAGTATTGTACAAGTATATACAAGTTTATTTAGGGAAAGGAAAGAGAAATAAATTAATTTGTTTTTCCACTTATATTTCCAGTTGAATGTAGCACTGTCTTAAATTGCTAATTATTAATTTTCATATCCTACTTTTCCTGAAGAATCTGTGTATGGACTTTTGAGGCCAGCAGAAATAACTTCTTTTACTATGATTAACACTCTAGAGGGGAAATCAGTACTTGAGTGTATTGTGAAATGGAAAGCCTTTGGGAGTTTAATTTATTCAACCCTAAAAAGTAACGATGGAAGATTGAGACGTGAGTCGTTGAATGTACTCTCTTAGAGTACAATTTCAAGCAAAAAGTACAGATATTCAGAACTAGCATCCAGACACCCTTTGGTAGGAAAGGCTTATCGGTGAAGGTGAATGCCCAGAATGTCCTTCGAAGCAGGTCCTGCCCAGCCTCTTGTGGCCTTTCTCACTGTCTCTAACAAACCCCCTAGGCCTGCCTCCTTTCAGGGGAGTCTGAAGAAAATGAGTGGGGAAGGTTTTCAATTGCAGCTTAGTTATCTGTTACTTTCTTTTGATATAACTGATTTCAGGTCGTTCTTTAGTATTCTGTGTAGCTCAAATAGTGTTTTGATGAGGTATTTATCATGTTTAAAGTTCAGCTATTTTCATACTGCATTCATATTCTTCTGTTTTGAGAACTCATATCTTGTGTACTATTTGATAACTACATTTGTATATGGAAAAAGCTAAATGTTTATCTTATCCCAAAGTGGTCTATTTCGAAGTACTTTTCATTCTTTTTTCTTCTTCTTTCCTTCCTCTCCCCACCCCCTTTCTTTTTGCAAATCATCTTGAAATTCTCACCTCAATTTTCTTCTAACTCGGTCTTCAAGAGCTGTAATGAAAAATTAGTGAGTGAGGGCTGAGATGCAGGATTACTTTATACTCCTCTAGTTTTTCTTTTAGCCAGTTTTCCTTTCAAAGAAGTCTTTTAAATGAATGGAAACTCTCCCAAGCCCTGGTGTGTTTGCAGTTTCTGCTCGGAACTGGTAAAGCTGAAAGAGCAGACTCTACCAGAGTCGTAGGAGTACTGTTTTATATTTTTCTGCATTTTGATAAGGCCTTGACAGATGGGATGAGAAACTCAAGTATCAAGCAATTGGCGGCCCCAGTCTTTCCTACAGGAGCTTGAAGTTTGTTTGAAAATTAACGGGGAGATTGGGGGACACTGGGCACAGGGAGGAGAGCTACGAAGCTGCTGGGTGCATGCTCTTCAGAGCCGTGTTTTCAAACTGCGGGTTGCACCTCGTTAGTGGGTCGTGGGATGAAGTAAGTGAGTCAAGAGCAGCATTTTCTAAGGAATGGAAAAGAATATAAAATACTGTTTTTGTGCCCCTGGACAATCAGGATGAGGATTGCTTCGTGAAACTTCAGTTTCATTTTATGTGCATGTGCTTGTGCTAAATGACAGTATGAACTGCCATTTTACGAGAGTCAGAAAAGCTTGAAGCTGCCCGCCGGGGAAAATTGTGCCGGACTACTGGCAGGGTTAGAAACAGGAGCGCACAGCCCGCCCCTGGAACAAGGTCCCCCAGAACTGCGCGCCTCCACGCTGCGCGGCTGGTGGCTTGAGGTGGAACCGCCGCGCCGATGTAGGGCGCGGTGCGTCCCCCTGCACAGGAGAGGAGTTGCGGGCCAGGATGCAGGATGAGGCTGGGGGCGGATCTGGTGATTTACTCACTTTTCTTCTTGTCTGAGAAGTGCAGTAATTCGAAACAGTTCTCACAGTAGCGTCCCAGTCAGAGAGAGAGAGAGAGAGAGAGAGAGAGACAGGCCTGGGGAGAGAGAGAAGGAGAGAGAGAAAGGGAGGAGGAGGGAGGAAGAAATCAAAGTTGAGAAAGCCTTAGAAAGCAAAAGATACTATATGCACACATGCTCAGACACAAGGCTGTAAAACTTAGGGCCAGCTTCTTGATACCCG